CCTTACTCCAGGTTTCCACTGTTTTCTTTTGTCGATTGACTATCTTTATGAAGAATCTGAGTTCTTGTCCATCCAATGTAGCTCTCTGTTCATCACTAAAAATTAATGTTCAGAAATCGGTTTTCACGTACTTCATCATCTAATTTTAACATTACTTTGCGATATAGACGATAGTTTGCTTACTTTCAGATCTTTACAAAATGTTCTGAATATTGTGCATCTTTTTACAAGATTGTCAGATATCTCTGTCCACATTCTTTTTTTTTATAGTTTCTTACTGATCTAATTTTTGTCATTTCTTTTTGGGATTATATTAAAAATAATTTTTCTGATTCTTATCAATTTCTTTTTTAATTTTTCTCTGGGGTCTGTTCAATTTTTTTTTCACAATGTCCAGTGTTGTTTTCTCTTCACTAACTGCAATCTCTTAATTCTCTCTTGACATGTGACAATATATTTCCAACATTAAAAAAAAAAAAAAATCAATATTATAATATTTATTTACAATATGATGAACAATGCTTAAGTTGCATAATAAAATCTCACAGAATAAATTATTGTAAATGTTTCTAATAAAACATCCAAGTTGAAATTCATATATATATATATATATATATATATATATATATATATATATACTTTTATCAACTTTGATGGTCAGTGGCAATTTTATAGTGTAATTTTGAAGACTAGTATGGATCCTCAGGTACATTATCTTAATGACTGTTCTTTGATAATATATATGGAACAATTTCATACCAAATCTGTGGATATTTTGAGCAAGAGAATTCTAGTTTGTGTAATGCAAGTGAGTTTTAACTTCTTATCAGTCAAGGTTAATTGCAAATTTGCAGCTGCATGCCAATCAATGGTTGTATGTGGCTTTTCACAGCCACAAGTTGGTAGCAAGGAAAATGGATAATAAATAAATAAATGCTGTATATGTGGGTGGTGTAATGCATAGTGGTTTGGAATGATAAAATGGACAGCCAAGTTCGAATTCCAGTCACTTTCATTGCATTCATTTTTGAACAGTATGAATCCATCACCTCCCCCCAGCACTTTTACCTGAAAAAAAATCATTGTTATTCTTAAAAAAAAAATAGTTAATGCAGTACTCACTTGCAAAAAAGAATTATTCTTACATTCCAAAATATATTTCAGCTTTAAATAACCCATCAAGAGTTGATAACCCATAAAAAATATCAATCAAAGCATTAATTCAATAAATGATTTCATTTCAGGTCATTACTATCCTTTTCACATCAGAAGAAACTTGAAATCTATTCCTTCCTGAAATCAGTCCTCTAACTAGTAATTTTAGTTTTGTTTTTGTATGTCCCAGAGGTGTGTTTGGCATAGTAGTTATTTGGCACGGATTTAGCTGAGGCTGTTTGGGTTCTCTTTAAGCTAATAATCTTAAAAAAGGCAATAACACTTCTCTTCTATGAGTAAGGGTCAAAATGAGTTTTTAGCCTTGGGAGGTTAACCAGTCTTGGAGATTCTGAATTCAGAACAACCTGAAAAGAAATGGGCTCTGCAAGGCTGTCTTGTCTTTAGATGGGTGTATCTAAAGATAAGACATTAGGATTTTTTTATTTTTTTTCATTTTTTATTTTTTATTTTTTTGTAGATATCAACAAATAGAGAATTTTTTCAAAAGAGAAATAAGGTTGATTTTCTTTTTTCAATCCATAACTAAGATAATATCTCTGACTCTGGTAATTGATATGAAACTAACTTGTCATTTAAATTACTTCTTGCTCTCTCTCATTGGTTGAGGTACTGATCATCTTGCAATGTAATCTTAAACTGTCCTATTATTAGGCATATTGCTTTATATCATGGCCAATTATTTGCATTTTTCTTCCAGTAAACCCAAGCTAATAGAATGCTCTGAAATTCATCTCTATAACCATGCTTTTTTTTTTTTTTTTTTTTTTTAACCATTGTACTCAGTCATTTGATCATATATAAATTCAAAATGGGGATTAAGGGAGTTAAATTTTTGAGACTTTTGATTGAATGATTAATATTATCCTGATATTTCTTTTTTTTTTTTTTTTTTTTTGAATGGCAAGTGAAACTCTGGGTTCTTTTGTTAAATTTGCTTTCAAATCACTTTCAGGTACAAGGAGAAGCTGGAATTTAAAAGAAATGAATTTATAGGAATACAATATATATATATTCATCTTCACCTTATACATTATTACTGTTTTTTTCTTTTTTTATAAATATTTAAACTATATATTTTAAGGATTTTGCTTAAGTAACTATATAATTTGACTTCATAGACAGTCAGGTATAGATTTTCTTCTTAAAAAATTGTAATATTGAATGATTTTTGAGAAATAGAAAAGATTACATAAAATCAAATGCTAACAAATAATACTTTTAGTAAAAGGAGTTTGGTCAATTGTACAGATGATGGACTATTATTAAGTTATTGCTATGTATAATGTATTTACATATGCTTGTATATATTGTTGTTATCTGATGCTTTGATGTCAAACTTGCTATACACGTTTGTCTTTCTTACTCACAATATTTTTGCATGTTTTTTGTTTTATATTGTGCATGATACTTTTTAAAAATCTTTTTTTGTTTGGAATGTGCATCTAACCTTTGACCCAGTTTTCCTTATTAATCCTTGGCATGTTGAATTCTTTGCTTGCATTCTGCTCTCACCTGCTTCTTGCTATTTTTTCTCTTTTTAATGCTCAATTTCAAATGAAAAAAAAATGTTTCAAGTTCTTTTGACACCAAAATATAAAACAAAGCCAGAAAGTCCTGCTATCTTCGTTCATAGTGTTTGGTAATGTATGAGTTGGATTTTAACATTTTTTTTCTTCTTTTTTTCCTAAGGAATTGGTGACATATTTTGATCATTTCTGGTTGGATCCGTTGTAAGTAAGGATTAGGGTGGGTTGTTTTGGTGAAAAGTCTTTGAATGGAAAAGTTAAATTTTGAAAGATGAATTTAAAATTGTTTTATTATTGATATTACATTTATAGTCTCTCTTGTACTAATCTCCTCTGGAGAGCTATTCATCTATCATCAAAACTGCCTGATTGTTCTCAAGTGTACCTGTGATATTTAAAAAAAAAAAAAAAAAAAATTTATTGTCCCCCAAGGACAAATAATCAGTTCAAAATATCTTGGAAAATTTTCCAACAGTGTCATATTGCAAAGAGATATTTTTTTCATTACGTTAACCTGCTTTTTCATTGAAACAATTTAAGCCTTAAGTTTGTTCAAATTTTGGAGAGAGGGGGGAGAAAAAAAATTAAAATATTTATAGATTTTGAGATGTAGTGCCACTTCTTTTATAGGCATTTTATAGAACTTCAAAAATCCCCCCCTCTCTCTCTCTCTGAAAAAGTAATCAAAATTGTTCAAAAACAACCATCTTCATTATTATTCAGGATTATTCAAGATTCATTATTGAATTTGCTGTTATTGAAAATCTTTAATCAAATATCAGAACTGAAGATGGAATTGTGAATTTTTTAATTTTTTTTTTTTAATTTTTTTTTTTTATTGTATCTGGTTGGCTCACACATTAATGTCTTTTAATGATAAATGTTGATATTTAGGAAATGGATCAACTGTGAATGTGCAATACGGTATAATTAAATCAAGTGAACCAAAATTTGACATTTTGAATTAGAAGTAATTTTTTTTTTATTTCAGCAGTATCTTTTTTTGTGAGGAATATCCATAAAATAAAATTAAAAAAAATTAAATAAATAAATAAAAAAAAAAAAACTCTCAATTTTATCTCTAGGGATTTTGCATATTTGAAAAAATTTTTTTTTTTTCTCCTTTCAAGAAATCTTTTTAATTTTTTTTAATTTGAAACAGTTTTTATTTTGATTGGTTTTAGTTGTTTTCAAATTTTGAATATGTTTGTATATAGGTACCTTAGCTTTCATTAATACATCTTTCCTTCTTTCTCTCTTTCTCTTTCCATAAGTGGTAGTGGTGGTGGGAGAAAAATAGTTTAACTTGTCTTTGCAAGAGTTAGGTACCCAATGAGGCTAGAGGCCATTAGTAGAAACCATGTATTTTATCTCTCTCTCTATATATATATATATATATATATATATATATATATATATATATATATATATTATATATTTATATCTCCTGACTTGGCATCTCGACTTCAGTCACTCTCTTTCACTGACACGCCATCAGCTTCTCTTTGTCTTTTCTACAAATATTTTCATGGCAACTGCCCTGACAAGCTTTTTCCCCTGGTGCCCCGACTACATGAATTTAAGCATGTTACTATATTGGCATCTAGACCTGTCCCCTTTACTGTTGAAGTAGTTAAATGTAACCGCCGCTTCTACTCCAACAGTTTTTCTCACACTTCCCACTTCTGTTTACTTGCTTCCCTGATAACTACAATCTTGCAAAATTTAGATGCAACGTCAATCACCATCTTCTATCTTCTTGAATCCAATTCTTCTTATCCTTTTCTATACTCAGTCTCTTCTCTCACTTTCACTCTCTGTAGCCTCTTGAGTACGAGTGGCATTCCTATCTTGTTTGTGGTGAAATGATTGAAAATATATATTGCCTTGCAGCATAAGTTTTTGAATATACCAGGTACGTTATGTTAATTCACAAAATGGACCTCTGACAGACAACACTTTTATCAAAATATTTGCCTAAAAGAGCTAATTTTGGATAACTCAAAGTTGGTATGGTGTCCCCAACTGGCCAAGGAAGTTACAGAGTTTCAATGAGATTGATCCCAATGTGCCATTCAACACTGGAATCACCTTGATATTCCTTTCTGGAATTACAAACAATCTTGCCATTTCAATTTTCAAATCAAACTAGTTAATTTTCTCAATCACCTTTTTTGCTATATTTTTTTTTTTTTTTTTTTTTTGGTAATCAAAACCATCAATAATATATAACAGTTCTTGATGCCTTTACTGAGTGCAATAATACCTGGGTGGTAATATTGCATCCATGTTGGCTTATGTCCATGTCATATTGGAATACCACTTCCTGTATGATCACCAAAGTTAAGCAGCATCAAGCCTGATTAGTACCTAGATGGGTGACCGCTTGTGAATATCAAGTGCTGTAAGCTTGAGTTTGCAGGTGTTGTAATGGTTAACAGCTCGGGATTGGAAATCAGACATTGGTTCTATTACTGGTCAGGTTTGTTATGTTCACTTAGGAAAGGTATAAATCCATATTTTCCCCCACTCCAGCTATGAGTTAATTAGTTAAACTTGTATCAGTAAGTCATTAGTATCTCCCAAAAAAATCTTTCTATCTAAAAATAATTTCCTGCTAAAGGTTGATAAAAAAAACAAACTGTAAATCTAATTTTATCGGCTTTTTGCCTTTGAGTCTTTATAAAGTATATGCACTTTCCAAAGGGATAGCACAGTTAAGACTGCTGTACTTTTAGACTGCTCAGTGTGGAAATCTTTTATGGTCAAGCTCAGTTCCATTGCTCTATTTAAGAAATGCACATCTCTTGAAGCCTGTGTCTCTGACCACAAGCCCATCTGTATTTGCATTATTAGAAACAGCCAGAAAATAGTGACATTTTTCCCTACTGTCATGGTGAAACAAAGTGAGACATAACATGTATTGTTATTTTCATGTTTAATTTATGTTCATTTTGAAAAACTCATAAAAAGTTGCATTAACTTACTCTCCTAAGATGTACAGAATAAAGAAACACTTGATAATGAATACTCTTGTCTTTTGAAGCAACCCCCCTCCATCCCCACCAATCCAAGAACTTGATTCAAATGATAAAATTTAAGTGGGTACCAGGAACTTTTTTTATAACCAAACTGACACCACCCACTACCCACTACTCTCCTGAGTACAAGGTTAAAGGTTTGTGCCCAAAACACCAGCTGCATGATTCATCCTCCATAGTACATGCTTATTGGGCTTGAGAATACAATAAATATATAGTGTTTCACTAAAGTAACCCCCCCCCCCAAATATGTTTAGCACAAGTGCATGAAAATACAAAATTTGCAGACAGGGTGGTGGTATCATGAGTTTTCTTTGAAAGTATGATGGTATTAATGGTGTCTTGGATTTTGGTACTGCTTTTTGTTCTTATAATGAAATGCATGTGGGCTCTTCATTAAGCTGTTTTTAGTCACTGCCTCCACCCCCATTAATGTTCACCCAATATGAGGCCCAAGAAGGAAGTGAAGATTATAAGGATATGGTGGATAGATAATGATTGACCCTCAACTTGATAAGGTTAAGAGTATAGTGTAAGCATCCTTACAGTAGTCTGTTCCACAAAGTAGTGGTTCTTGTGGAAAAGAAAGCTTTCAGAGCGGAACACCCTTCTTAAAGAAATACATAGGGAATGAGGGTGATTCAGTCCTGTGGATATACCAAGGCAGGTCTTGGCTGTAAATGTCTGAGTTGATAACCGGAAGTAGAGCTTGTCAGAACATTTGCCATATAGTAAGGACAGGCTTGTGATATTGTGTCTGGAAAAAGAGGCTTTTGGGTGGAAAATGAGTTACTCCTCACAAGGATGTGTAAACTTTTCTAGGATTATTGCATTAATGATTACTAATAGTTACTTATTGTATTACTAATGAATTTACAAAAAGGATGCTTAGTATGACTTGTATATTAGTTCTTCTTGTGACTAACTAATGCTTGTGACTTGGTTTTGCTTTCTGCCTATATATGTTTGTTTTTGGGAAGTCAGAAAATGAAGACAATGGGTCATATTATAGCAGAGTATACATGTGGCGGGATGCGGAGAGTTGAACATTGAGAACCGATATTTACGGAACTAGTTGAATGTTAAAGGGTTAAAAGGCACCTGGTCTTAAATTTGATATTTTTTTTTATTTATGTAATTTTTGTGAAACTATTTATCTTGCTGATACTGTATTTAGTTTAAAATGCCCTCCCCTTACTTCAAGAGATTTTGAGTTCTTAGATAAATTTATTTATATTTGGACTAGTATCCTCATCTTTGTTATCACATTTCATCCGTTGTGACCTCTGACTTTCTTTAGGTGCCTGTAAATCTGAGTAACCTTCAGGGAATTTTCAATTTTAACCCTTTTTTTAATCTACAAGGTTAGAGTGTTCTCATTTGGCTGAACAAGTCTAAAGATAACTCATTTTGTTCTTTATAGTACTGTCCAGTTATTGCTCATTTTGTTTTCACAGTCTCTAAGTTTGTACTATTACCTGTCCCAGGGACTGAATTCACAATTGCTTTAACAAATTCATGAACACATTCTTTAATTCATTATGTGTCCTGGGTAAGATGATAAAATATATCCAGCAGCAAGGCCTCTGATCAGGAGGTTTTTTGCTGTTCCCAGATCCACCCTGACCCTGGGTGGTAGCACCTGTTAGGCTCCCAGATATAGGCAAATAGGTAACCTCCAAACTGGAGTCAAAACACTATAAAAGTGTAAAAATAGTTTTTAACATCAGCAATACATCTTTGTAAAAGATCATTACCAGCAATAAATTTTTGAAAAAAAAATATTGACAGCAATACATTTTGGGGGGCGGGGGGGATATTACCAGCAATAAAAAATTTTGTTGGCATTACATAACCCATTGAGGTAGATATGCTGTAAAACAAACCAAACTAGTTCACTATGCAGTAATTGTTTTTGTTTAGTGGTGGCATATCAACACCTCTATGGGTTATTTCATGCCAAAATCTGAATTTTAAAAAAATTTTTTTATTTAGAATAATGGTTTAATTGGGTGGGGGAACAAGAGGTGGATTCATACCTTTCCCTGGGGTATTTGCATGTAATTGAATATAACCCAGTTGGAACTCAGCTATCCAATTAGCAATTGTGAGCCATTATCCATTACACCATCCGCACATTCAAGTTTACAGAACCTGCTATTCCCCAAGTGGTCACCTATCTAAGTATTGACCAGGCTTGATGTTGCTTAACTTTGGTGATCGTACAAGAACCGGTGTTTCAACATGATGTGGCCGTAAGCCCTTTAATTGTGAAATTGTGGAGTGGCTTCCTGCTAACTTCTGTATGGTTAGGAATTTAGAGTTTTTTTTCTTCTGGGTGCCAACCAAGGCTAGAAAGTCCAGTAGTTATTTCACTATAGCTGGATGGAGAAGATAGATTGATGCCCCTTTCCTAAGGGTATTTGTCTGGAATTTGAACTGAACTTGCCGGTTTCATGTTCTCTGTCAATAACTCATTACCTGCACCTTCCTTATATATGATCTCTGGCTGGGATGTATTCTTTCATGGCTCTCTACAACTTCCCTGTCCTTTGTAGTTCTTAGTAAGGCTTATTTTTTTTATCATCCCCTTCACTCCCTATTCTGCTATTCATTTACACAAGCTTGTTTGTGATATAATGTAATTAAAAACATGACATAAGCAATTTTTCTTTTTTTTTACAGTAAGGTTCACCCTGTACAACACTGTGAGGTCACTTGAGGTAGAGGGTTACGTTAAGGGGTAGTTTATATGGATAGGAGGGGGAAGATAATGGTTGGAGTGGAAGATAGCCTGGTACCTAGATGGGTGACTGCTTGGGAATACCAAATGATGTAAGCTTGGATGTGTGGGTGGTGTAATGAATAATGGCTATGAATTGGAAATCGGAGAGCTAAGTTCCAATTCCAGTTGGGTTTTTTATATTCACTTATGTGCAAATAACTTTGGGAAAAGTATGAATCCACCTCATCTCCCCCCAAGCTATAGGTTAATTTGTAGCACTTGTATCAGTAAATCAATATTATATCTAAAAATTCTTAAAATCTACAAATACAGTTTAACCCGGATATAAGAGAGATTTTCTCTTGTCCCAAATTAGAGCCTGTGTTAATGTATATAAAATAGACCAAACCCGGATATAAGAGACTTCTTCTCCAGTCCAGACAACTCTCTTATATCCAGGTTACACTGTATTTTCTGGCTTTAAATAACCTGCAAAAGGTTAAGATGTAAAAGAGAAACCTCAGCTTAATGTGTTCAATATTTGATGTCATAAGTTTCATTACCCTCCCCTTGAAAAAGAAAATGTTTTTCTAATAATTCCTCAATATGAAGATTCCACCACCACCACTGACTTTTTATGATAATTTTTTTATTATTATTTATTATTATTAGTTTTATTTTTTATATTTATTTTTATTATTATTATTTTATTATTATAATAATAATAATTTATTATTAGTTATTATTATTAATTTTTTTTATTACTATTTTTTTATTATAATTTTTTTTCCCATTTAAAATGAAAAAATGATTTTTCCTGCTGTCCAATTTGCATATTTTGTTTAAACCTTTTCTGCCGTGTTGTAGCTACAGGTTTCAGTATTAAATGTTTCCCTATAAATATGGTAAAATATTTATTTTTATTTGCTGAAATGAGGAGTTGAGGTTATATACTATCAAGCATTATTTATTTTTTGTGTAGTATGTAGAAGTGAAGACATGTAAATTACTGTCCAAAATGAAAAAGGTGGTGAAAATCCTCTTAAGTAACCAATTTTTTTGATCAGTACTTATCAGAGATGATTGTTGGTAAACTTAAAATATCCAGCAATAAAACAGGATTAAAGATTTTATATTAGGGGTTAAAAAAAAAAAAAATACAATTAAAGCAATAAAAACTGACGTCATAAAAGGAAAACATTAACTACTGTCATTGGCAATATGAAAAGAGAAAATACTATAGAATAAGCTGATTGACTGAAGATTTGTCTGCAGTCTTGGAACCTCTTATGGGAATGGTCATCATTCTTCTGTGAGGACATATTCTCAGTTTTGAGCAAGTCGCATTCAAATTTTCAACTGTAACGGCAACACTTTTATGCTAAAATCCACACAATACAAGGCATGAGAGCCACTCAAGTTAGAGGGTTATTAAATGTATATGAATGTAAGAGGAGGTAGTCAGAAGTCAAGACTATTATGAGGATAAGGAGGAAACATAAATATTAACCTTTGACTTGAAGAGGTTAAGATTATAGTGTTAAGGGATGCATCCACATAGGATTCTGTTCTTCAAAGACTGGGAAATTTGGATTAGTGCTTGGTGATATTGAGATCTTATTAAAAATTGATATTGTTCATCCTCCTTCCAGGAGGATATGTTCTCAGTTTTGAGCAAATCATATCAATTGAAAGTCCTCAACAATTTATATTAAATCAAGGCCACCATCTTTATACAAAGAAAAGGATTGGCTGTTAGGACTTAGTGTAATCTGTTTATAGATATATATACATGCCAATATCTTATTGAGACATGTATATTTCCTTCATGTTTTCATATTTTTTTTTTTAAAATCATTTCATTTCAAGCAAAGTGATGCAGGGGGTTTATAGATAGTGAAAGAGAATGAGAAGACTTTAGTGAAGAGAAGCAAAAAAAAAAAAAATGGAACAGTTCAGGAAGATGGTGATTGATGTTGCATTTAAATTTTTGAAGATTGTAGGTGGCAGGGCCTGCAAGAAATTGTAAGAGTTTCACAGGTGAGAAGTGTGAGAAAAGAAACTGTTAGAAGTGGTGGTTGCATCTAGCTAGTTCAACAGTAAAACAGTGAGACCTAGTTGTCAATCTAGTAGCATGCTTAAATTCACGCAGTCAAGACACTAGGGACAAAAAATCTCATTTGTAGAAAATACAGAGAAAAGCCATGTCATGTCTGTGAGGTTAAGATGTCAGATCAGGAGTGATTACATTGAACTTTGATATTTGTCACAAATCTTGTGATATTCTGACCAGATATGACAGCAGTGAGAAGTGATAACTAGTTAGTTTGTTCTATAGTGCCCCCCCACCCCATTTTGTATTGCCCAACTAATGTATTTGAAGTTTTGTTATTTTTCTTTTGCCCCCTTTAATTATGCCTGTTTTTATTTCCAATAAAAATTAGCTAAAATATTCTAAATATAGTCAGAAACCAAATCTTCTGCAAACTTAAATCATACAGGATAACATTTAGAAATAAAGAAAATTCTTTTTTCTTTCAGTTAGTTGTCACGTTTTTATTTAAATACTATTGTTTAACCCCCACCCATACACAACCTAAGAACCTCTCAAGGCTGAGAGCTACTGTATGAGGTTGTTATTAAAGGTGTACAAAGAGGGAGCAAGAGGTAAATGTAGGATAAATAAGGGTTGACTCTAGACTTGAAAAGTTTAAAATTGTTGTGATAGTGAGGGCATCTTATTGGGATAGTGTTCCACAAAGGTCTGAGGAAGAATCTGAGTGGAACTTGCTTGTTACTGTTGGAATAGGAAGGGAATGAGTCAACTCTATGTATGTGGCATGATAGGTCCTAGCTATGAGTGGAACTAAGGAATGTAGCTCATCTCAGCATTTGCCATGAAAATAATGATAGTAACAGCAGGCTTTTATCTGTGGGGAAAGTGGTTGTCAGGTGGAAAATAATGCATCACTCACAAAGCTGCGTATACTCTTTTGAACTCTGTCAAGGCAGGATTGTGAGGGTTGGGTAGCTCCAGTCTAGATATGGCAGTAATACTCCCTTTTTTGGGGAGGGGGTCTGATCTGATTCCTGTAAAGATAGAGCATGGCAGGAATAGTCAGGTACATTCTGGAGTAGTACAAAGAGCTGACCATTTTTGCAGTAGATGTTGGATTGAGAAGCATGTTCCATTTTGGATCATGAATTGCCAATCCATCTCAAGCTACAATGTTGATGAATATCCAGAGGATTTTGGGTTCAGCCAACATCTTTGTTGTGAGAGGAAATATTTCCCTTACAAGTTTGAACTTGGCTGTCAGATGAAAGACATAAAAAAAATACTCCTACATCAAGAGGAGTATCAGGAGGAGCAATAGCAGCAGTAGCTTTTGCTGAAAACTCTTTGTCATTCATGGTTAAACTTTCTCTTCCCTAGTTCCTATTTTACATTATGTTTCCATGTATCAAAAGCTAATAAACTTGTTAAAGCAATTCCGGTTTTCTACCGTTTTTGATAACTCAGTTACAACAATCTTATTAATAGGATTTTGGATTCAGCCAACATCTTATTAATAATCCAGTTTGTGCCAGCAGTTTTTCATGATTGTTTCAGTATTCTAATTGTTGCAATGTTGTCTTTACATCAGAAAATTTTTTAGCCTTTTTTTTTCTTGATATTGTCTCTTTTGTAAGCAAAATGATTTTCTTTATTCTTTAAGATTATTCTGTATAACTTAAGTTTGCCTATAATTTTTCTTAAGATGATAGATCAGATTTTCAAATAATTTACCTTACCTTTATTTCAATTATCTTACATTATTTAATATTTGATACTTATCAACACTCTTTGGTAAGAGGGATTGAAAAGCTGATAGCATAAATGGATTTGCACCACTGTTTTGCCAGTAACTTTCAACATGTTTTAGCTTCTTTATGCTATCCTTAAGTTTTCTACCATTTAAGAAATTATGATTATTTTTTTTTTTCATTTTTAATAATATTGGCATTTGAAGTGGATGACTTTCTAACTTCTCTGCCTAAGTTTGTTAACTTTGGTTAAGTGGGTGGTTAAGATTTTTAGCCCTCTTTCCTACTGTTCTTGTAAGATTTACCATCAGCCAGTCTAAAAGCTTTCTTTTGTTATTTAGACATTTTCCTGAGGGTACAAAATTTTATCATAGCCATTAAAACAGACATTTTGAGAGAGAGAGAGAGGGGAAAAGAAACTAACTTTTCTAGTTAGTGTAGGCAGTAAATTGAGATGGAGCAGATAAGCTGACTAGTCATTTTGTTGCTCACTCGTCAGTTCGTTTGATGGCTGAAAAGAAGCCTCCACAGTGCTTGTTATTTCGTCAATGCTATAAGATTTTTGAAGTATTAGTCAAAACCTGACTCTCCACAATGCATCCTCTTTCTTTGTTTTCAATTTAGACTGTGTTACTCTCCAGTGTATGAGTTACAATAAAATGTAATTGAAATTAAAATAAAAAAAGAAAAGAAATTTTTCTTTTAGATATCATCTCCTCAGCCAACTGAAAGTAGATAGGTGATTATAATTTCTGTCTATATCTTTGACATGAGTTATTATGACTTACATTATTCAGATTGTTATCCTCATCTTCATTAACATATTCACTGTGTTTCGGCTGTTGTACACTCTGGCATTCTTCAGGTGATTAGAATTTTGAACTGAACCCTTTATTTTGTCCACTGGAAGTAGCATGGCATGTGGAACTAAAACAATCTACCCCAGTGGACAAAATAAAGGGTTCAGTTTGAAATTCCAATCACCTGAAGAAGGTCAAAGCGTACAGTGGCTGAAACATTGTGAATATGGCAGTGAAGGTGAGGATATCTGTCTGAATTATGTAAGTAAGTGATTGTAATTATTTAGTTCATTTTATTTGATTTTAGAAATCTGAAACTGATTGCCCAATGAAGCTTATTACTGCTTTCATTGAATTTTCTCTTTTTTTTTTTTTTTTTTTTTTTATTTTTTTATCATAATTTAAGAGCTGAGTTCCAAATCCAATTGAGTTTATTATATTCACTTACATGCAAATACCCTTGGGAAAGGTATGAATCCCTCTTTGCTCTCCAGCTATGGGTTAATTAGTAAGACTTGTATCAATAAATCATTGTTCCCCCAAAAAAAAAAAAATTATTACAATATAAAAATATTTTCTCGCTTTAAATAACCTGTGAAGTGTTGATAACCTGTAGAAAAAGAGTGAATCTTTAGAAACTGTTAATGTCTTTAATGCCCACAAGTCTTGAAATGTGGTGTATAGTAAGTGACACTTGGATTGATCAGCTTACTCATGTCGAATCAGTCAGAATTTCCCGTGTCTCACTTGGTATTTTACTTATTTTTCTAGATCAATCCACCAAGAAGTTAGCCCAGGATGGCATTTCATTCGTATGTCCATTTGACATTTTGGATTGCCTCTGTTATGCTTGGAAACCTGAAGATAAACAAATATATAGCATCTTCCTCTTTAAGTTCCTGTTTTCATCACTTCTGTTTTTACTTTCCAAAAATTAAAGTTTGAAATTTAACAGATAAATATATCATTTGTTACTCCAGAGTAAAGTACACTGTTTCAGAGAAGTTGATTTTACATATACAGTCAGGCAGCCAATGTTCTTTAAGAGAAATATTATTAAAAACAATAGACATTTTGTGTCAATTAATTTTTATGACTAACTTTTTCAAATTATAAGGACAAAAATGTACACGCATATGAAAAATTAATGATAAAGTGGGAAATATTTTTGTGTCTGGCATGTTCCATCCTTTATGACTTCATCAGACTAAAGTGCTATTGATGTAATTGCAGATGTGCAAAAAGTGTGGGGGGGTGAATATAAAAACGCAAATGTTGATTATAATTGTGCATAGATAGGAAATGCCGAAAATTTTGGGAAACTGAAATTTTAAAGTGAAAATTTTTTTTTTTGTAGATGTATCTGGTGGGTATATAATCTAGCTATTTTGTTTAGTTTGTTTTTATGACTTTTTTATAAAGATATATATCATTTTCTTCCATCCATATATATATATATATATATATATATATATATATATATATATAGGCAGCAATATTTCATTGATGCATGTTTCATTAAATAATATCGACAAGTTATGTCTCTTTTAAGTAAGTTCCTTTTAATATTGTCTGAAACTTGAAATAGACACATCTTGTCTATATTATATAATGAAACATACATCTATATATATATATATATATATATATATATATATAATGAGAATGAAAATATATAAATTCTAACGTTCACAGCATTTAATTCAAAAGAGGGCTCAATACCAAGAGTAGAGCAATAATTTATTATAATTTTTTCATATAGGCAAAAACAATTTACTCACTTCAAAGATGCATTTTGGTGCATTTAAACTAAATGCATTGAAACGAGGCTGCTTCTTTCTTGTGAGTAAATTGTGTTTGTCTATATGAAAAAAAATTATATATTCAAATAGAAGACCCCCTTGAAGAATGGATAATTCTAAGAAACTTTGAAGTTGGGGGAACAACATCAAAAATTGATATTTAGTTATATATATGGGAATTTTGTTATATTTCACTTTTTATGATTGTATATCTGGTTAGATTTATTGAAGAGTTTAGTGGCAATATTAGTGAAGAACATTGTGCCATTTCTATCTGTGGCTCTGATAAATTCTTCTTTTTCATATGAAATTAGAAAAATAAACAATAAAAGTTTTGTAAGCATTTTCAGAATTTTTATATATATATATATATATATATATATATATATATATATATATATATATATGGTTTCTTCCCCAAGTTTCTTCACTCCAAAAGGTGTTCTAAAAGGATTAGATGTCTCTTATACCTAGTGGTGTAACTGGACACAAACCAAGTATTTGTATATCCCTGTGCAATATATATATATATATATATATATATATATATATATATATACATACGGATACAAAGTAGATGATTGGTGCGACCTTCAGCATAATGTGTGTGTTGGCCATTTTTTTTTTTTTTTCACTCATCATCAGAACAGTCTCAAGTAGGTTTCCTGTTCAGTTTACACCTGACAAAGGCTGATGAATGCAATGTCTGGAAAATTGTGGTGACAGTGGCAGTCATATAAAGAGATTCTTTATTGTTATAACAGACTCATTTTACATTATTATTTCAACTCCATAGTTTGGAAGGAAATTCTCAATATTTGAAAGAGCTATAAAAAGAACTGTTTTGAAGAAAAAAGATTTTATATATATATATATATATATATATATATATCTCAACCGATGGTAATACTAACTAGCCACATCTCTGTCTTATGAACATTTCTCCTAATAATTTAAAAATAATTCAAAGTCATGGTAAAAGGATTTTAGGTGATTGCCTTATTACTTGCTTTTTGTCATTTGATACTGTACGTATGAAGAATAGGGATTCTCTCTTTCCACTTTTACCTTTGCTTTTCTTTTCTCACTGAAACCAAATAGTGTCTTTTCTCTTCTTTCCATGTGATCAAAACGGAATAGTCCATTATTTATGAGGGCATAACGTTTGTGTGAACTAACGAAAGACAGACAAAGACTATTATAATAGGATTATTTGGTCAAGGAATTCTGGATGTTTCCTGTATAGAAATTGTTAATTTAACTGTAACATTTATTAATAGATAAGGATTCACACTTTTGAAAGAAATATTGAAATTGAAGGGGTCACAGGATCATCTGAAGTTGGGCATAATCTGATCATGTGAAAATTTTTAAGTACTTAGTCAATTTTGCTCCTCATTTCTAGATAATAAAAAAAAGAAGCCGACTTTTGACCTTGTGTTGATATTGCAGAGATGTACAGTTTTTTTTTTTTTTTTTTTTTAATTAAAATGTGACATAGATAAAGAGATTCCTGTCCTTAAGAATAAAGTCTAATTTTGGTCTGAAAATTTTGGAATTCATACAGTATTGCCGAGAATTACAATGTTTATTTATTTATTTATTTTTTTCTTATTAAAATGTAACTAGTAAATAAAGAGACGCCTCCTCCTTCCCCCACCCCCCAAAAAGAAAATTTTCAAGTAGTGATTTTGTCTTTGGTAATTGCCAACCCTATTTGTTTGTTTCTTTTCAGATGACGAATCGTCTACAAACATTCCTAATAAGATAACCACCAAAGTTTATGTAGAAAAACAGTTAAGCAAGAGCAGTTCCCTCTCAAACACGACCCCGGACTGTTGCCACCGTGCTGATGCAGACACGGAACTGTCTCCGGAGCCAAAGATAAAGCGTCGGAAGGCAGTACGCCGGACAAAGAGCTCTTTAGAGAGCTGGTATGGTCAGGCTATCAGCACTGGCAGTACCCCTGGGTCGCAGTCACACCACCAGCTCCAGCGATCGCTGGACTGTGCCCTTGCCTCCCGTCAGAGGCCTAGGCTTCTTCCGCTTGATAACAAAGACAGTAGCTGCCTTGTATCATTCGATCGCTCGCACTCAAATAGCCTGGAACGTGAGAATCCGAAACGGCTGCGGCGTCAAGCCCATGTAGACAGTGGGGGAGCTGATTCAGATGGCACAAATACAGATGATAGTATTTTTCGATACCGGACTTTGACCCCAAGTACTCGGTCCCTGGATGCCAAGATAAAACGCTGGCTAAACGGTAAGAAGTCTCCCGCGAGCAGCAGTACAGACAAGAAGACTTTGTATCGGGCAGATCACAAACTTAGGTCATCTCAAAGAACGTCATTCCCACCGGCACGAGGCCACCGTTATCCCATTGCGTTGCATATCCCCCAGTCTTCAAGCTGCAAGGGTGCACTGGATGTAAATGTTGGGGATATATTTACAGGGCTGAAGGATATCCGCAATAACAAACGCCCTTTTTCGGGTGCACTCGTTAGTGGACAGAGGATGATCTCAGGACAAGCTGTTGTAGAGACGACACCAACATCAATTGGAGCTTCTGCAGCTGCACCCCCAGCAGTCAAGAACAGAGATTCTGGCATGTTCCGATTTATGCGACTGTTGCACAGCTCTGATGAGAAGAAGCCGGAGCCAGTACAATCACAGCAAAGTAGCGTTGTGGGGCTGGATTGGCTGTTCAGTACTGACAGCGAGTCTGTTAGTTCAGGTAAATGAAATCTCTCACCTAGCTGGCAAAAGAAAGAAGAAAAAAAAAAAAATTAGTGTTGTAGTTAAATGTGAATTGTTTTGATTTAAATTTTTCTTTTTTAAATTGTTTTATTTATTTTTATTTTTTTTAAATATCACGGCTGCTGCACGTCTGCTCTCTTTATTGCTTTGTTTATAGGTCAGTCAGTTTGGCCTTCATTAGTGCTACAATCACAGATGACTAAAGAAAATGTTAATGAATTATGCGCACAAACATAAACATGCAAAATAATGACTGCTATCATAATCCTGGAAGAGCCAATTTCTTTCTTTTTTTTTTTTTTTTCTTTCCTCCTTAACTTGCTATCTATAGGTAGCTATTCTCCTCAAATCCTTTTGGTTCATTGAGTCATTGGTTTTTATCCTCCATTTTCTAGACCCTCCATTAGCTCCCTCCTTCTCTGGCCTCTCTGTTAGCTTCCCCGCCCGATCTCTGGCCTCTCTGTTAGCTTCCCCGCCCGATCTCTGGCCTCTCTGCTAGCCTCTCCCCCCGATCTCTGGCCTCTCTGCTAGCCTCTCCCCCCAATCTTTGGCCCTCTGCTTAGCCTCTCCCCACCTCCCTTGGCCTCTGTTAGCTCTTTCCCCTTCTGGACCCTTTGTTATTTTTTTTTTTTGTCACTTTCAGATCCCTTCTCTTGTCAGTTTTTTCCCCCAAAACTCCCTTTGTTATTACCCCCCCATCGGACCCTCTGTTACTCCCCCCTTCTCTGGACCCTCTGTTACTCCCCCCTTCTCTGGACCTCTGTTACTCCCCCCTTCTCTGGACCCTCTGTTTACTTTCCTTCTCTGGACCCTCTGTTACTTTCCCCGCCTTCTCTGGACCCTCTGTTACTTTCCCCGCCTTCTCTGGACCCTCTGTTACTTTCCCCGCCTTCTCTGGACCCTCTGTTACTTTCCCCGCCTTCTCTGGATCCTCTGTTACTTTCCCTCCTATCTAGACCCTGTGTTAGTTTTTTTTTTTCACCTCCAAATGCTCTGTTAATCTCCACTCCATCAGCTTTTTTCCTCACACTCAATTGCCAACTTCCTCACCAAACATCTCTCTCTCTCTCTCTCTCTCTCTCTTTTTTCTTTTTTTTTTCATGGATAGCAAGTTGCACTTTGCTAATTATGATACATTCCAACTATTTCCTTTCTCTTTCTCCATGCTTATTGGAAACATAATAAAATCTTTTCTAGCTCTAAGCAATGTTCTTTATTTATCCTTTCTTTCTCCCTGAACTGCTATCCATTCACTTAAACTCCTTAGTTATTTCCCTCTGCCCCCACTTCCTTCAGTATGTCTTGTAAGTGTTAAATTCTCTAAGCCTTTTTCCTCATTATCTATCCCAGAAATATCAAATGTCACTTTCTGATTTTAAGTATCCTAGTTCCCATATTCTTTAAAACTTGTCATTCACATTTTCTGTCCATCTTATTCTCAACATGTAGAGTTGCTTCTTCAGCCATATGGAAATTGTCCAGCATTCACTGCTATAAATGACATATATAATGTTGCATTTTAGCACTTTCTTTCTAAGAAAATTTTCTTGTCAACGACTTGTTTTCCTTGTTCTTTATTATCATTATTTTTGTGTCTGAATTTTTGTGATGTGGATTTATTTTTATACACTGATATACTCTGACTAGTGTCTTCATTTTGTTTGTTATTGTCCCAACATTTTTCTTGTTGGCCTTCTTTGGGTTTGTTATTGTTAGCAAGAAGACTTCATCTGAAATTCTTCAGAGAAACTGTCAGAAAACAATTTAAATTCCAGTGAATCTGTTTTAGAGGTGTGAAGGTACTAAACGTGGAACATTTACAGATGAAATTGGTAAAGATAGTTCAAGATTCAACTAAGGCACTTTGTGTTCACTTTGCACTTAATGCATTTGGAAAAGGAATGAAGCCATCTCTTCTTTCAGCCAATGGTTAAATAGCAAGGTACACTGGACTCTATAATCTTGGTTGTCAAACCACTCAAAGAGAATCGATTATGGCACAAAGCACTTGACCATCTTTCTTTAGAACATTCAGTTTAACAGTAATGATGATGATAATAATAATAGTAAAAATAATAATAGTACACCTGAAAAAAATGAGAAAATTATAAAAATTTTTACTTTTTTTCTGTCTGGCAGAACTTCTAAAAAGCACTTGGTAGATAACTGGAACTGTAATATTCAAAATTTGAAAGTTAGAATTAGTGGTCATTTACTCAGATTATAAATATGAAATCTGATACATCTGGTAGATTTATTTGGACCGTATGCGTGTTTTGATGCAAAACTCTTGAGTCAATTAATCATATAAATCATTTGAACTTAACCTTTAGCAATCTGCAATATTCATAAGTATTTCATCCATTGAGTTTAAGTGGCCAGACAACTGCAGTAGCACCATCTTCGATTTTCAGTTAGTCATTTTCCTGTTGCTATAGTAGGATATAACAACACTAGCGCAAAATTCAATCACACTATAGCTCTGATGATCAGAGTTGCATGCAGTAGCTGTACAAACATTTTGTTTGATAAAGTTACCGACATACAGTGTTAAAGTAATTTATAGAATAGTTTGTTTAGATATTCAAGGACAAGAGGCTGTGGTGAGCCATAATCCCTATGTTCTGAATACAGATGGTGCTTAAGAATTTTCTTTAATATTAGTCTTCACTTACAAACATAATTTGTTGTGCTGATGATTGATATCAAAGGTGGTTTGAAATTGTCTTTTTTTTTTTTTTTTTTTTTTTTTAATTATTATATAAAAAGAATTAAGGAACAGTGTTTTCTAATTTTGTGGCATTTTGATTGCAACTCTTCTAAACATCCTGGACTTGAAAAAATACAATTCAAAAATTTATACCTGTCTAATTCTTGTCCACCTACTTTGTTTATTTTATATTGCTATAATCTCAAGATCATTTCTTTGTCTTGTTAACAGTACAAGTAATATTCACTTTGTTATTGAATCTCTTGTTCTTGAAATATGTCTCATTTAAGAATGAAATCTTGGTTCTCATCTCTCGACAACTCTGGAAAAAGCTTTCCTTTTCTTGTATCATCTAAGTAAAAACATGTTATAAAACATGTTCCACTAATGGAACAATGGTCACTTTAAAGTTTAATACTAGGTTTATTATTTTAATTTTTATAATTCATGCAAGATTTTATGGTCAGCATTAGTTTAATAAAATTAATTATATTCAAACTTATCACTGATCATAGTAAACTGGTAATAATAGAGGAAGACCGTTTTCATTATTTTTGCAGAATTAAATTACTATAATTTGTTTATTTTTTTTATTAGATTTATTGGTTGGCTTGTTGCATTGTTGGAGAAGATTGCAGTTGTATGTGGTCTAGACTGATTATAATCAGTTGTTGACTGAATCTAGAAAGGCTTCATTAGATTCTGATTAAACTTTTGTTATTGTTTTATAGAAATGACCATTTGAAACTGTCAGTTAAGTCTGTTTTTAATATAATAGAAAATATCTAGGATTAACTAGCTGTCCTAGTAGACTCGTATAATTGAATACGAGTGGCCAGCTATTATATATATATATATATATATATATATATATATCAAGTAAGAATCTGATTTTTTTAGTCCCTACTTAAATTAACTACTCAGATTGTTTATTAGGAAAAACAAAATGATAGAATTTTTTTTTTTTTTTTTAAATAATTTTTGTACATTCATCCTTTACTCAAACTTGTTAGAATTGAAAAATATTGATGTGTTTTTGCTTTTATCATTTTTTTTTTTTTTTAGAAGGGGGTTGTTCATAAAATACAGTGTCAAATCAATTGCTGATTTGTTCCAGAGTTATCTGTACCTTTTCTTTTTATTTAAAAATGTCAAGTTTATTTAATTTTCCATTATATTAAACTAGGTACCTCCCCTAATTTTCAATACCTAAGGTTTAAAAAGGTTTTGAAATTTTAAAAATGGAAAAGCATTCTTGAAGCTTTCTTTTTAGCTTTAATTGAAAGCTAAATGATTAAATTCACTATTTCAGTCATAAGTCATAACTGATAGCCTGATATCTTGAAGGCAAAATAATAATAAAAAAAAAATCTTTATCAGATTTAAAAGTTTTATTAAAAATAAAACTTTTCTATGTCAACCACTTATTATCGATGATTTTTCAGAAGTTCTTATTGTTCAGTATTTCAAATTCATTAATTTTGTGCAAAGCATATTTGAATTGATATATTCATTAGGAGTACAGCATAAGAATGGATCTTCCAAAAAAATTGTGGTGACATCAGAAACAACACCAAGAATGAATTCAATCCTCAGAGAACTTGTTTGTAATGTCAACTTCTTTTATAAAGTAATGGAGTGTTGAGAAGTTACACATTGATAAACAGCCTTGTAGAAATATCGTATAAGTGTTACCTGCAGATTTAAGACATTGTCACACGCCAAGCAAATTCCAGTGGCACGCGTGTCACACGCCAAGCAAATTCCAGTGGCATGCAGCTGCAAATGACATCTGAACTAATAACTACTACAACATAAAGAAGACATTTAGCTGTTTCAATTTTAGTATATACTAAAGTATATATACTATACATTACTATATAAAATATATTGTAGAATAGGTATATTGACCTTGACTTGTATGAAAATATGTATGCTGTTGGCACACTAAATAATTTTAAAACCCTAAGTCGGTATATAGCAAAAGGTTGCTGACCCCTGCTTTACTGAGACATAGGTCAAGACAAAATAGTAAATAGAAGTGCACTATTTGGACAAATTTTGATGTTAAATCATGCTTAATATGTACACTATTTATATTTTCTTTATATTCATATTCATAATACTACACAGTATTTCTACACATTGGAAATTTTTGAACCTCTTGTAAACGGGGATGCTTGGGATTTTGTTAATCTTGTGTGTATCCCTTTCTTGATTGCACCCAGATATCTAATTATTATAAATGTAACAATAGTTTTAACATGCTACATTTTTTTTCTTTCCCTATATTAACTTATTTTGTCATATTCTTTAATGGTTAATCTTTATCTGAATATGTTGCTATATCTGTGAGAAGCCATCTTTTTTTTTTCTGTAATCTTTAATTACAATTGTCTAGTTTTTCAGCTTTTATATGTTCCACAGTATGAATGGTAAAGTCTTAAAGAATAGTGACCTCATGACTTCAGGGTGATGTTCATACCTTTTTTCATTATTTGGCACACTGTAATACTGACAACGAATATGTTGCTAAATCTTATCTTTCTTTGATGTTAAGATTAGTCTAGGTTCATATAAGTTACACATTAGGTCTGTACCATTCTTTATTATCTTTTCCTGGTAATACCTAATGAATAGGCTTTGAACCTGTGCTGCCATTATAAATTCCTCTGTCTCTGCTCTTGGCTCTACACTTGTTAGACATTGATGAGTTTTGTGTTTATCTACATTGGCATCATTTCTTCTGACTGCATATTGTTCATATCAGGGTTTTTGTTCCTGCATGTTTTTTAATATATTATTATATAGCCTTTTGATATCTAAAAAGGAATGCATGTTTTATAATATTTCTATTTTCTGTTCATGATGTCCGACCATTTTTAAGGCAGGTAAAATCTTAGGAAGTAATTGTTCCAATAATTGTATGCATCTTTCTTTTCATTTGTTGTGTTTGGAGTGCATTGGATTGAAAGATGGTTTTGATTTGCTAAGCTATTTCTTTCTCAGCCATTAAATTTAAGGACAGGCATTTTTACTGAGAAAAGAGTCACTCAGTAAATACCACAATGTTAATACTATACAATAAAAAAAAAATTGTCAATATAATTTTTATTTTAAGATATGAATATTTCTAAAATAAATTACTCATGTCCTAAACTAATGATACATCCTCTACCTCCAACAAAAAACAAAAGGAAAAAATTCTCAGAATTATGTATGTATGTATATGTGTGTATATATATATATATATATATATATATATATTTCAAACAGAAAACCGTTTCATTGAAACCGATTACATGTTATGCATTTGCTAAACTTCAAATAAAAAGAAATGCTGTGTGCGTAAAATATATATATATATATATATATATATATATATATATATATATATACAC